TCATTATTATTTACAAGATGCAAGAAGAGAAGGTAAAGTAAGTGTATGACACATAAATCCTGTCAATTTAGCTTTCAGAGGGTCACAATAGCTATTAGCTGTAACGGTTAGCAACGCAATGAGCGAGCAATCAACGATCATAAAATCGCTAGTTGTGACCTTCTGGAAGCCAAATTTACAAATGTTATATGTCATACATAAACATTACCACCTCTTCTTGCTTTTAACAAATAAAATTTATCATAATAGGGTAGAGCACTACTTCGTCGTAATCGCCCATTTCCGTTCTATCGATCAGAAAAGATCAATAATATCAATGATTTCACCATGCAAAAATCAATAATAGGTTTGTTCTGATGCGTAAGTTCATTAGCTACAACATAAATCCAGTTAGAGCGCATCATTTGAATATTTACACTCATTGTTCTCAAAACAAAAGAAGCGCTCCTAGCGAATCCTCTTTTTCTACGTTTATCAGTAGGACGAAGAAAATCTAATGGCGTTTCAATGCGTTAGGACGGAATTGAAACTCGTAGAACGAATTTAGAATCAAGAAGCAGTGTTAGATTTTAAACAATATCGCAACAATTTGTGACTCTTTATCAAATCCAACGGTACGTATGGAAAGGTGAATGAATTTAGAAGTCATCTTTGACAAAAATATTCCATTTTTTGTTTAAATTCGTTCAGAAAAGAGAGGTGAAGCGCGGGTTGTGCTTAGTAGGACGGAAATTAGATCAAAAACCCTAGTATCCCATAGTTGGCTATAATGAGCAATTGCAAGCCAGGTTTTCTCACCTAATGGCTCAAATCTAGGGGTTGGTCTGTTGAAAAAAATGATAAAAAATTTCCCCCATGTGGCAAATGTGGGAAAGTCTAATGCAAATCTTATACCTAATTAAATTCAATGAATATCGAAATGTAACTTCGAATTCGTATGAGAAGAACAGATTTGTTCTCTCCCTTTTCTTTTGTAAAAGTGTCTATTCTTCTAGTTCTATTCTTCATAATAATAAGTTCTATTGTTTTTTTTTCATTCTTTTTGGCAATAATGTTTATAGTTACTACAATAGATTTTATTACATAGTAGCATAGTAATGATGCTTTCTTTCAACACGAATTTTATGTTATTTAGGAAATACTAACGTCACTACATCACCGGCGCCGCTGACCACCATTCACCCCTCCGATTTTGAAGGAAAGGATGCTGGGTTATTTATTAAACTAAATCAATGAATTTGTCGTCGTGAGCTATATGATCGATGATTAAGATTTAGAACACAAATAAAAAAGGGTTCACCTTTATACAGCAATATTGTAAAGCAATGCAATGAAATCTAATAATAGAGCTAGAAAACATGTATAAAACATTCAAAGTGTTTGCAATTTCCAGAGTTGGTTGGAAATGCAAACATAAAGCTTTAGTGTGATAATTTATTAGTTAGAGAATGATCTTTAGAAGAGGGTAAGTGGATAGTTCTGTTAGAGTGCGGCAGTACGAAAATTGAATAGAAGTTGAAAATGAGCGAAGGGCCATTAATGCGACAGTATAAAGTCAAACGCACACCTTTTGCCTAACCTGTACGATGTACGCGGAGACTTGAAGTATGTCTTCAAGTCTACAGGCAAAAGATGTGCGTCCGCCTTTTGCTCATTACTGATTGCGGCGGTGGAATAATTCTAGCGACGTTTTATCAAACAAATTTGAGTAGGGCTAGCCTAAATTGAGTAAACCAAGTTGTAACCTTTGTTTGCTCAATTTAGGGTAGCCCTACTTTTGACGATTCAGAGACGTTGAAGAGAGACACGCATAGACTGAAGCAAGAAGAACCAAACGAGCAAAGTAAATAAACATTACTGTTTGCTCAATTCACCAGAAAGGAGTATTGTTCTCAATGATGAAAAAAGTGTTCAATTGTTTTCACAAAATATTTGATATCTGTTATTTATGTATTTATTTATTTATTGTTGATTAAATTACAACATTTATTAGCAATTTAAATCAATTTTGAATCGGAGCGTTTTATTTAGTTTTATGGTAATAAAAATGATTGCGCTGCAAGCAAAACAGTAAAATATGACAAAAGATATAGAGATGTTCATGTCCGGTTGTGTTGGTGCGTTATGTGAGAGCGCGTTATTGAATATCCAAGGAAAATACATAACATAATCGAGAATATCTAAACATACATATTGACAGTGAAATATCGACTGCAGCTCAATTATTACATAAGATACGGCATAAAATGTAATTTGAGGCGTCATATTAGTCTGAGGTTAGGGACATTTACCCTAATTAGGCATAATGTTTGATGTTTTCATAAATCTTATCAAATAGAAAGATGGGAAAATTCATGAGGAACAACTTTCAAAAATCTTGCTGAGATATTCACGATTTACTGAATAAAGAAAACAAATTTTTGCAAGTTTTTTAAATTCTTAATAAATTCTCAGTAGAAGGTTATGCTTATTAATATAATAATTCCCTGGGTGGTGCGGAGTCAATCACTTTCAATATTCAAGATATTTTGCCGGTGCCTTTTTCCAGAGAAAAAAATGAGAACTTGTTCGTGACTTCCTCATTTATGTTTACAATTGCTTGGTTGAGCCAATAATCCGTAAAGTTCCGAATAAACTTACTTAGTAAGCAACTGATCAAATGAAGTCAAGCGATTGAATATTGCTGCTTATCCCTAGACGCGTTTATTTTGATGATAAGCTTTCTTGGTTGAGGATTTTTACAAGCATTAGTGATTATTACAATAAATTAATCGTACTTTTCATTGGTATGATTAAATTTGGTCAGCCTTTAAGATACACTTGTTCTACTACTTATCAATTTAATTTTAGGATAACATTTTGAGTGTTGATCCTAATACTTTATCTTTCGAGCGAATATGTTTAAGGGACGTAAGCCTTGGTGTTGATCCTGATCGTTGGATTTTTTTGTAACAGCACCAGTTGGATTTTTTTGACAACAATTTCGAGTGACTGCCCACTACTCAGATCAAACCTAATGATTATTTTCAGCTTTTTTTTCCTTGATTTGTTTTCCGTCGATCTTTTTTCGTGCTGAGCACCAATGCTTCCGACGCTAGGGAGGCAGCTCCCACACCTGGACCCTACCTATCGACCCATCAACTCATGAACCGGGGACCAACGGCTTTACTTCCCTTCCGAAGGAAGGCGTGATCATAGATGTTATGCCTCAGAACATCCCGGCGGCGCCGACTGGGATTGAACAGATTATTTTCAGCTGATAACGAATCAATGACATATTTCTTAAGATAATTATTTTGAAGTTTTCTATTCTTAGCTACGACCAATATCAGTTGTTGTTTTTCAGGATCATTTGTTGGACCACACTTGTTCATTTCTCCTGACTATCCTTGTTGTTTGCACATCTTTGCTAAAAACATTATATTTGATACCCACTTATGTCGATTAAATGTCATAATTAAATTAAAAAAATATAAAAAAAAAAATTGGCACAAAACAAGCTGTGGCAATTTTTTTCTTATAGTTATAGACCCCAAGGAATCTGTTTCAATTGTAAAAGAGTTAGGTTTCACAAGATTTTAAAGAATTAGAAACATTGTTTTAATAGAAGCTAAGAAAATGTACTTTTATTTCGGAAAGCTCAAATTTTTAAACCTCTAAACATCATTTTCCAGAGTAGCTGTCATTGTTTGTAACAGCCTAAGCTATAATTTGGAGGTTGAGCAACCAGGTTTCCATGTATAAATGCAATTTTGAGACATCCTAGACATCCACCTCTTATTACTCCAGAGCATTGTTGAAAACTAGAAGAGTTTTCGGATGTGGGACGGCTACAAAACAAAATGAATTAAAACTTACTGAGTTTTATTCCGGTGCTTATTACGAACGGCGAGGTTAGGGCTTTGACCGGGTAATCTCCAAATGTTTCGGCCCAGTTATTTGGTGGAGGATGGTAAACGATGTTGGCAGATGACGTTCCGATTGATAGTGACACGTGTTCGATCGACAAATAGACCACAAGATCTACAGACGAAGAAAAGCTGCGTCTGTGTACTGCGGACAGTGACGGGGCCACTCTCATGGAGACAGAAAATACGCACGCCATTCTTGGAAACAGGTGTTCGATTGACAGATCAACGAATAGTTATGGACAGCGTTAAGGCGGGAGTTTGGCGATCTACAACCGATGCAGCTTGTGCTCAAGACAAATCAGCCAACGAAGAAATCTGGTCCGAATGAAGAATACGGTAGATCGACTCGTTTTGATGGTGATCCGTGTCCGATCGACAAATAGGCCAAACGATCAACGAATAGCTCCGCACAGCGATAAGCCGGGACTTAGCGGTCAGTTACGGTTGCCTCTTGTCCTTCGGGACAAATCTGGTTTGAAGGCAGAATCTAATGGATACTCATACTGCTGTGGGCTGCTTCGCCATGTGATCAAACGATGATAGGCCATCAGGTCAGCCCAACCGCTATTGGTGGCGGATGCTAGAAATAACCTGACTCAGGGGTAGGCTGGGCCCCCGTCAGTCACAAAATACCTTGGAAGGAGTGGATACGGTCAAGTAGGTAAATGATGACTGATTGGGTCAACTAGTCACCGGGTCGATCCACAGAGACAGACGATAAATCCGGTGTAGATCTCACTCAGAAACGGTAACAGATTATATTTGGCCCTGTAGAGGTGCCAGATGTGCTAGCGTGTACCACGATACCGACATTTTTGATAAGGCTTTCTATCACGGCCAAAGTTGCACACCGAATTCTCTATTCGCCTATCGATCCATCGATCTTCATTCACCACTCAACCCCATTGTAGTTGGTGTTCAGGTTTTCTTCCGCTTTATCATCGCGACCGACATTACGCTGCTGTTGTTCGCACCCACGAACCATTCTTGCATTTCTTGTTCATCACCAGCACCAACATACTAAAGAATTATAATTTCCCTACCGAAAATATATAAAATTTTAAAAATTGCTTGTTTGTCTCATTTTAGGGTAGTAGTTCCCTTATCAATACCAACGGATGAGGACCACGTAGTTCTGTACGGAAAATTGATTAATAACGATGCGACTTGTTTTTCGTTTGAATCAACTTTGAAATTGTAAGTAAAATGAATTTGCATTTATAAATAGATGTGAATGATGTTCAATAAAACCAAAACCGTTCTATTTACAGTGTGATAATGCTTGCTGATTTAATTCAAAGAGAAAGTGGAGCAGTTACCGGATATAGATTTGTTTTGGACATGGAAGGTGTTACCATGGGTCACGTTACTAGGCTAACCATAAGTACTGTGAAACGATTCCTACATTTCTTACAAGAAGCGATGCCAGTACGTTTGAAGGGTCTCCATTTGACAAACGTTGTTCCTTTTATTGATAAAATTCTTATGTTGGTTAAACCATTTATGAAGAAGGAGTTGCTCGACATGCTACACCTACATAGCAACATCGAAACTCTGTACCCTTTTGTACAAAAGAAATGTCTTACCAATGAATTGGGTGGCGAAGCTGGAAATCTAATGGATATTAAAGGTATTTCATAGAATATATTTTACAAAAGAAATATGTAAAACTTTTATTTTGCAGAGAAATTCAATCGGCATCTTATTGATAATCGAGAATTTTTCATAGAAGAGGAAAACAAAAAGGCTATTGAAGAGAGAAGACCTGGGAAACCGAAAGACTCTGCATCAATTTTTGGCATGGAAGGGAACTTCAAAAAATTGGATATTGACTAAAAGGCTGGTCGCTCACAAATAAATTATATTTGATATTCACAGGGATATACAGTGATACTTTGGTGGCACAGTGTGTGTGTCAAGCAACCCATTTCTGAATGTCTGGAGAGTCACGCCCATTCCGAGGTTACTTTCACATACAATAAGCCCCGCACAGTGATACTTTGGTGGCACTAGTACATTTATATTAAAGACCATTGGCGTGTTTTGTCTGATTTGAATTATTTTGACTTTAATATCACAACAGTATTTTTTATAAGTTCCAAGTAGGTCAGTATACCATAATAAACAAATATCATAAATGAAGGTTTGGATGATACCCCGATCACGTCGTTAAGCTCCCAGAAAAAAATATATAATAAAACAACGAAATTACAATAATTTTTACTGTTGTATTTCGATCACATTAAAATGTATTGTTAAATGGTTACGGGAGAAACGAGAAAATTCGTTTTTTAACGATACAATACCCCTTTTTTACTGTAAATTTCTCAAATACCATGATTTTCATTGTTGTGAACCATGAATTTCGTTGTCATTTTATGGTAATTGATAAAAATGTCCAATGTTTTGACAATAAAAATCATGGTTACAATGACAGTGAAAATCATTGTATTTTTTGTATCTTTTATGGTTATTTTTATTAGGGTAGTTCACCCAAGTCACACAAAATCGCCAGATTTTGTATATTTTTCAGTTGCCATATTATTTTCCTACATCCTTGGTATCAAATGTAGGGGAATTTACGTATTCTCGTCAATCAAAGCAGCGTCCGCGTTTCTATTAGCATTTTCTCGGCGTCGTGCACACATATGACGTGTTAGTTTGTTTACATTTATTTACTCTTTCCTCTCCAAGCGAAAGATTTTTTCATTGATTTACAAATCGACAGAATTGTCCAACATGGTTTGAAAACGTTTTTACAACGCTACAAACTTCACAGGTGAGTCTGACTATTTTCGGCATCCTTTTCATTTTAACTACGTAGGGTTAACTACCCCATTTCCGGCCTATTAAGCACAACCCGCACTTAGCCTTTCTTAATCTAGCGTAGTTTAGCACCAAACGGAATGTTATTATTATTAATGGCTTCCAAATTTACTTAACTTTCCGTACGTACCGTAAGATTTGATAAAGAGAAACAAATTGTTGAGATATTGCTAAAAGTCTAACACTGCTTCTTGACGCCAAACTCGGCCTACGGATTTTAAACTCGGCCAAACACATTGAAACCCCATTGAAACGCCTAAAAAAACCTACGAGATTTTGATTTTTCACATGCTTAAATGTTTAAAAAAAATCAGATTTTGATGCCATTTGTAATTATAGCATGCTATGGTCCATATAGACATATTTTAAAAATTTCTGTATGTACACCAAAAATTGTGATTTTTTTCAAGTATGCCACTCGATTAACTATAGCTTGAAAAGGATAATGTGATTAGAATCAAGTTGATAGGTTGTATCGTTGGCGAGAAATCGTTAAAAACGTACCGTGTAAATCGTGGAAAACCGTGTAAAAAAAACCGCGTAAAAAAAACCGTGTAAAAAAAACTTCAGTGTACGTGTAATATGTGTCAAATTTTTAATAAGTTGCCCAACTTGCTGTCGGCCAGTCGCAGGTTCGAACACAGCTCAAGATAGTAGAAAGGAATTGCTCGAAGCACCATTGAAAAAAAATTCAATGTCACTTTTAATCATTTTGTATTATAAAAAACATAAATTCTTACCCACAAAAACTCATCATAGACTTTAATAAAACAACAAATATCTAATAAAAAAATATGCCAATTCACTATAAACTTGAGTTAAATAACAGTTTATTTTTTATTAGTTAATTTATTTGTACAGGCTCAATCGAATAAACTTTGCAGAGCCAAGTTATCATTTGCGTTGTACATAATTGAATAAAATAATAATATCTAGAGTTAAAGGAACTGAACCGATTACTCAGGGTCGTCTCGAGGTTAGTAGAGATTAACAGTTTTATGGATGGGGAGAGGGAGGTGGAGGTTTGAGTTATGATTAACGATACAAATATTTTATTATTTTTAAAACATGAACTTATTCCTATTCAATTTGGTATCCACAGTGTAATTATAAAATTATTACAGAAACAAACATTAAAAAAAAAAAAACCACACGAACAAAACAAAAACTAAACGCAAGGTTAGTCAAACTTACAATCTAAGGTTAATATTCTTAAAGAAAACATATATAAGTTTCATAAACTCCAGATTGCGTCTACCCAAAATATCCCGAACTGGAACATTAGGTTGTCTACCTCGAGCCCGAAGGGAATCGTACAGCTCAGATCTGACTCCGCGATGCTCAGCACAAGACCAAATAATGTGATCTGCGTCCTGGTAACCTTGTCCCCATTCACAGAGATTGCTGTCCTCCAGCCCAACACGGAACAAGTGAGCGTTTAACGAGTAGTGATTGGACATGAGGTGAGACATCATACGAATGAAGTCTCGACCCACATCCAACCCCTTGAACCAAGGACTCTTCGACATCTTAGGGATGATCGAATATAGCCATCGTCCCAAACTTCCTTCGCTCCATTTATTCTGCCAGCTAACGAGTGACTGTTGACGATAAATGAAGAAAAATTCATCGTAGGCGATTTGTCGATCGTAAATATCGCCTTCCATAGCGCCCACCTTAGCAAGTGAGTCAACCATCTAATTGCCCGGAATCGAGCAATGAGATGGGACCCATGTGTTACTGTTGAGATTATTTAACCTAGATTTTGTAACATATTAATTAAATGTTTGTTTGTTAGTAGGTTAGTAAAGTAAATAATTATAAATGTTAGTAAATGTTAATGCTAAAAATTGATAAATACTCCGGAGTAGCTAATAATAAGGACATAATTTTTTAACACACTTCACACCACAACACACACTACACAACAGTATGAAGTGAGCCAAAAAAAAAAGGGAAAACAAGAGTTGCCACAGATACCGGGACTAGACACGTCAAAAAGGGAACATGAACAAAGGGTATGGAAAAATGAGGATCAAGCTACCGGGTAATAACTAGATAAGCGTTTTTCTTATCCAGAGCTTCGAAGCGTTAAGTTTGTTATCCTATAAAAAGCAGAGATAAAGTTGAAGATAAAGAGAGAAGTTCATTTGAAATCACCGTTACCTAATTAGGTTAGAAAGTGAAATAAGAATCAGGACCCATTATTAATCGCCTGAATTGTCCAGAAGTTATCCGCCATTCCGGCGTGCGATTGGACTTCCAGCGCTGACGTCTGAAGGAGTGTGATCCGCCAATCCGGCGTACGATCCGTCCCTCTTGGATTTGACGTAGGCATTACCCCGAGCGTCAAGGCAAAGGCGACCTTCCCGCATTTCGTGCTTGCATCCGGCCGCATCGTGAGACACTACCCACATACACACACACACACAGTAAGTCGAAATAAAAAGCTAATTAACAAGAGAGAAAGTCAGAGTTGGTTGGAAATGCTAACATGAAGCTTTAGTGTGATGATTTATTAGCTAGAGAATGATCTTTAGAAGAGGGTAGGTGGATAGTTCCGTTAGAGTACGGCAGTATGAAAATTGAATAGAAGTTGAAAATGAGCGAAGGGCCATTAATGCGACAGTTTTTCAAGATAGACGCACATTTTTGCCTAACCCGTACGATGTACGCGGGGACTTGAAGTATGTCTCCAAGTCCACAGGCAAAAATGTGCGTCCCTCTTGTTGCTCATAAACTGACTGCGGCTGTGGAATAGTTCTAGCGACGTTTTTCATCACTACCTAAAGCCCCACGTTGCGAGAGCATTTCCAGTAGATGGTGTGTTATAATGCAGTTCTTCTTTACCCAACTATTGTGTTGCTCCTCTCGTCATGACCAACGTGATCATCTCAGAGAGAAAGCAGTAGGGTGGTTGTTGCGTGCTGTACCATCATCAGCATTGTTGACGGTTACTCCCGCCTTGAGTTGTTACATTCAAAGTGTTTTTATGTTACTTCATACGCGAAGTTAACGATTTTCAGAGTTGGTTGGAAATGCTAACATGAAGCTTTAGTGTGATGATTTATTAGCTAAAGAATGATCTTTAGAAGAGGGTAGGTGGATAGTTCCGTTAGAGTACGGCAGTATGAAAATTGAATAGAAGTTGAAAATGAGCGAAGGGCCATTAATGCGACAGTTTTTCAAGATAGACGCACATTTTTGCCTAACCCGTACGATGTACGCGGGGACTTGAAGTATGTCTCCAAGTCCACAGGAAAAAATGTGCGTCCCTCTTGTTGCTCATAAACTGACTGCGGCTGTGGAATAGTTCTAGCGACGTTTTTCATCACTACCTAAAGCCCCACGTTGCGAGAGCATTTCCAGTAGATGGTGTGTTATAATGCAGTTCTTCTTTACCCAACTATTGTGTTGCTCCTCTCGTCATGACCAACGTGATCATCTCAGAGAGAAAGCAGTAGGGTGGTTGTTGCGTGCTGTACCATCATCAGCATTGTTGACGGTTACTCCCGCCTTGAGTTTGTAGCATGGTCACTTTTATGTAAATATAATTTAACTTATTTAAGGATTTCCATGTATTTATTTGAATTTATATTTTGTTCTTCCATCTATTTTTGAATTCCATTAATAATTATCGTTCACGTTATGTATTTATTATTTATATTCATTACATAATAACTACATGCTCACTTAAATTAAATTGAAATCACCATTACAAATGAAACTTATTGTAAATCCGCATAAAAACGTAACGCTTGCATACAAGCTGCCTTCCAAATTCATTTTATCGGCCACTGGAAACGTTCTCTGCTTTGTGAGACTCGTCGTAAAGTCCAAGGTTCGAATCCGAACATTCTCTCTCGTAAAAAAATCAATCGAGCCAGAATTAGAATGAAGCGAGACAGTTTAATCAAACGGTATGAGCGAGAAAGAGATAGAGTGTTCAATCGGCTCAAGATCGTAGTTGATGAGACTTGTCGTTTGAAAAGGTCGTTAATTACTTCGGTAATTGACGTACTTCCGGCCACGAAGACTATGATCACGATTTGATCTGAGGGTTTTCGGAACGTCCACTCGTCCATTTTGACCTGGACCGTGGAAGAGGCGAGAGTGCGTGAAATAGTTTTATTGTGTCGCGGTGTGTTTTAATTGGTACCTATAAAAAATGTGAGAAGTCTAGTGATCGAATTTAAT